AATTTTTTTTAGTAGATATGCAATTTTTATAATAAATTTAAATGTTTAAGAATATTTTTCCTAATCTTTCTAACCTTTTAAAAGATTATTTTTAAGTTATTTTAAACTATATATAAGTTAAATTAAAACTTCCCATGATTTAGTTGCTTCTTTTGTTGTTGTTGTTTTTATTTTTACAAAGAATTGTTTAAAAGTTTTTTTCAAAATTGAGTTACTAATTAAAGCATAAAATGAATAAAAATTACTATTTTAAAAAGACTGCATTATTTTTTTAAACATTTTTTTTTTTTGCAACTTTTTAAAAAAATGTTTATACAACTTATAAATATTATACTTTTTTCTTTTCAATAATTTAATTTCACTTTTCAATAAAATTTATTCATTTATTAAACAATTAATAGTAGTAATTTGTAAAAGCGTTTTGCGTAATTCTTGCATAACTTTAATTAAAAGTTTTAAAAGATGAGTTTTAAAGTAATTTTTTTACAAATTCAAAACATAACTAAAAGTAATTTTAACTTCTTTTTTTTTTTTTTTTTTTTTTTATGCTAATTTATTTTCTTTTACGTAAGGAATTGTTTTGCTTATTCTTTAGTTTTTTCAATTTTTTTTAAGTTTAAGTTTAGCTTAACTTTTCTTTTTTCAGCGCATTTCTAAAACATTTAGATCATCAAAACATCTAAACAGTTGTGGTCAAGTTGTAAACAAAAACAATCATTGGCGTGGTCAGCAATAGCGTTCCCTTGCACGCCAGCTTTATTTTGTAGAATTTAATTCCCGTCTGTCAAAATGTCCGATGACTTTGTAAATTGATCTGAGATTTTAGCCGGACAATGTCCGATGTCCGACTGTTAAATTGAGCCCTGTATATATATATATATATATATATATATATATATATATATATATATATATATATATATATATATATATATATATATATATATATATTACTAAAATTTTTTTTCAGCACAAAATGTGAAATTATTTTCTAAAAATAAGACTTTTAATTTTATTTAAAATCATTTTATTAATCAAGACATGTTTCGACTATATATAGTCATCATCAGTTAAAATATATTTGTTAAAAACGGTATAAAATATAGTATATAATTGTAAAAATAAATATAATAAAAGCCATAAAATTGTAAACAAACTTACTATATATACAAAAAGAATAATTAAAAATTATTTTAACAATTGTCAAATATAACAAAAGAAACCGGTAAATCATATTAAATTGTAAGAGTCACTTTAAGATAATTTACTTGTTTATTCATATCGGGTTTTTTCCATCCTACATGAATGCGATCTTTAATTTTTAATTCAATTTTGTTTTTTGCACGATCTGAAATTGAAAAGCACTCATCATTATAATTTGTAAAGCATTTTTTTTTGAGTGAAGAGAGTTTTTATCCCTTCTGTAGTGTTCAATCACGCGCGTCTTTAGGTGGCGAGAGGTTTTGCCAATATAACAGGATTTACATCCTGCACAAACAAATTTGTTGATGACAAATGATTTAAAATCTAAAGGAAGATAATCTTTAGATGAAAAAAATTTAGACACTTTTAACGAAGTGAATACTAATTTTACGGTAACCGACTTACAATGTCTCTTTATAATTGCATGTAGTCTTTGTTTCGTTAGCTCAGATATTTGACCAATATAAGGGAGTTTGAAATAGCGAGAGTTTGTAAGGTCTTCAGATAGTAATGGAACAACATAATTATCTTTATTTAACTAAGATGGGTACATATTACGTTTAAGAATTTTGAAAAGATTGTTAATATCATAACGGAGACTAAGGATAGTGTTGTTAATTTTGAATATTCTAAAATAAGTAAAATTTACCTGAACATTTTCCAGCAAATTTTGAATCAAATTTTACCAAAAAATTTACATCAATAGTTGTATTACGAAAGCAAAATTTACTGTTAAATTTTGAATTAGATTTTACCAGAAAAATCACTAATTTACATTGTTTTATTTAACTTTTTTTTTAATAAATTTACTTGTTATTCATCTATCAATACTCTCCCTAGTTAAATAAATTTACTTGTTATTCATCTATCAATATACTCTCCCTATACTATATGGCTCTACACTATAAGACTTCTTATTTAGGAAGTGGTTATCCAATTTTTTTTTAAGAGAGAGAGAGAGAGAGAGAGAGAGAGAGAGAGAGAGGTTTATATTTGATATTAGGGGTTTTTGTGTTATTTAGACCTATTTAATGTTAAGTTGTTTATTTATTTTTTATTTTCAGACTCAAACAAGTGCTGAAACAAGCATCGATGTTGTGGTGCAACAATTATGTTTGTCTATGCATCTCTTAGGTAAACATTTGTTTATCATTATTTATTAATTATGTATTATTAATTATATATTTATTAATTATATATTATTATTAATTTAAATTTAAAAGCTTTTAAGTATAAGCTCTTAAAAAATAAAATTAAAATTTTTCTACATTTTTTTATAAATAGGATTTATTAATAAGTATTTTAAAAAATTTTTAATTTTATAACTCTTGGTCACATGTTTTGACATTTTCAAAATGAATGATAAAATTTGTTTAGCCGAAAAACTTTTTAGAAATAGTAACTAGTAGTATTAATATTTAGCAATTTTTACAAGCTACAGACCTTGTCTCTAACAGGGCACCCTAAAAAAATAGTTGTGTGTGTCTATCTACACTATTTCAAGATGTATTTGAAAACTCGATATATTGTCAATAAGAAACCAAAGATGTTATCAAGAAGATGGAAGTTGTTTTTTAGAAACGTAAGATGTAATTGTAAGAGAACATGAAAGTTATATTTTAGAAACATATTATTTAACTGTAAGAGAATATGAAGCTGTATTTTAGAATGTAAAATGTAATTGAGAACATGAAGTTTGTAAATAAGTAAGCATAAGAATTGACAACATAATAGTTGTAATTAAGAAAGTTTATGGTACTTAGAGCAAAGTTCTTTGTATTTCTGATTTTGTAGCCTTAATTTGCTTTTATAATTTCTGCCTCTTGGTAAGCTGCCAAACGGATTGGTTTTTAATAAATGATAAAGTATTGACATTAAAATAAAGAATTCTTGTGAAAAAACATTTTGCAATGTGGAGGTAACTGGAAAAATCACATTGGATAATTTTACCAGGAATATTTTAGTGATTTTACTTTCATTAAGAATCACTACAATGTTCAGTTTAGCACCAACTTGGGCGTCTTCCATATTTAAAAACATTGTATAATGCATGGTCGGATGTTGTACAGTTTGCGCACAATCATCTCCCATTATTGTATTTTTTGCTGCAGTAACAATTCTTTTAAAATATTGCATTCGTTGTTCCACAATCTATCAAGGACCATTTTCTGGTTTGTCCATCAAGGACAACTTTTATACTACGATTGGAAAGGAAAGATTTAATAACCTTAAAGATGTTACCAGATAAACCGTAAGAAGAAAGCTTATGAAGGAGACCACCATGCCAAACTTTATCAAAAGCTTTAGAAATGTCAAGAGTGATGGCCTTAACCACTCCATCTTTATCTAATGCACAATAAAACCTATCGGTTATTACTCTTAGCAAATCAGATGTAGAACGAGAAGATCAAAATCCATATTGATGATCTGAAACTAAGTTATTAGATTCAAGATGAGAGATTAAGTGTTTGTTAATTAAAGATTTAAAAACTTTGCTAATGATATGAAGAAAACTAATGAGACGGTAGTTAGAAGAATCAGATCGCTCTCCAGAATTTTTGAAAATAGGGTTAACAGATACTGCTTTTCAGCTAGCTGGTAAACAAGACTAATAAGCACTTGTTAAATAATTTTGAAAGTATAGTGTCAGCTCTGGAGAACACTTCTGCAAGTCTATAGCAGGTATGTTGTTCAGACCACACGCTGTAGAAGAGTCTAAGCAAGGAAATCACTTTAGATCCAGTAGCTGGAGTGATACTAATGTCAAGCAATGTATCAACTTGTTTGTTGGCTATATCAGGTAGAATGTAACTAGTGGAATCAAGAGATGATATTGATGAAAAGTTCTTAGCAAACAATTCAGCTTTGTCTTTAGGTGAGGTGACAAAGTCTGAACAATACAAGAGAGGTGGAAAAACAGGTTTGCCTTTATTATTGATACTATTAAAGATTCTCCAGAAGTCATGAAAACCTCATTTTTGTGATAAAATGCGAGATTTCATGACCTGAGACTAGCGGGCTTTTGAAAATATTGTCTGTTTTCTAGAGATTTGTTTTGCTGATAGACATGGAACTAACGGTTTCCATTGGAGATGGCAGCAGCACACTGTAAGGAAAACCATGGAGAAGAGTGAGGCTTGACCTGGAATCGTAGAGAGAGAATAAAAGATTCCATGCCAGCCTGAATCCATGAATTTATGTAAGAAGCACATATATCAGCAGAAAGGTAAAAGAAATCTACCCAAGGGCCATCACGAAGAAAATCACGGAAAGAGTCCTGTCAGCTTTAAGGTAGTTGTAAGAGGTACAATGATAGGGGCATTCTGATGATGAAGAAGTATGATATAATAGTTTTAGAGAGATCAAATCGTGATCAGAAGGACCTAAGGATGAATGTGGAGAAACTGAGTACTTATTAGGATCAGAAACAAGACATAAGTTGACTAAAGGAGGTAATTGATTCAGATTGTCTGGAAAGTTGGAAAGTTGACTATTTGAGTTAGGGATTGAGAAAGGCAAAAGTTGTGGGCTTTAACGCCTGCGGAGTCGCTGACACTATAGCCAAGCCATTCAGTGTGATGAGCATTAAAGTCACCAACAACAAAATATTGGCTGATAGATAAAGAGAGAGGGCTTGGTCAATTTGATTAGAAATAACAGTAGCCGGATGCATCTGCCCAAGACAGTATCCGGATACATCTGCCTAAGATGAGTATTTTTATCAAGACACCATCTCTAGTCTTTACTCAACAAGAGCCCCAATGCAGGGGGTGTTTGTTACGAAAATAATAGGGGTCCTAGTTATTGCCTAATAAAGCGTATCCTACAAGGCAGCAGGATAGAAAGCAGATTGTACTGAGTTACAGTTTACCAGTAGCAGGATAACCTGACCTGACAAAGGTTGTAGATAGGGTTGTAACCACAATTAAGTAGGTTCTTCGACTTTAGTGACCTTCTGAGGCTTGGGAAGGTGAAATAAATGTTGACTCAGATTTAGGCTTTTGGGTCATAGTTTATTGACATTTAACACAACGATCTTTTAATTCCATTATCATCACTGGTGCATACAAATATTAAATTTGATAATATAAACTTAAAATTTATCTCTAAGACGACCTTCAAGCTTACTTATTACGATTTCTAAGTTACATATTATGTTTCTCAATTACTTAATTACTTTCTTAATTACCGTTTTGATGTTACCAATTACATCTTGAAAAGGTGAATGGATGAATGTATGGATAAAATAGGTGAATGGGTCATGTTAAACTTTTTTATATATAACTAATCAATTAAAGGTACAACACTGCATCAATACAATTAATTGCAACCGCAGTTCTAGTTTTTTTTGTTAACTTAAACTTGAAAGGATTGTAACAAATTTAAAAACACTTGTGATTGTGAACCAAGAAAACTTTATCAAAGTATTGTTTTTTTTATTATTATTATTTTTTTTTTTTTTAAAGTCTAAATTATTTAGTACATAGTTACAAAGCAAACAGTTTTTGTTATGATTTAGTTAAAAATAATGTAAATACTTTTAAAACGTTACTAATTATTTTTAAAATTTTGTGCAAATTGTTTAAATATAAAGCCTAAAAACTATGTGAGCTATGAGTAGTTCAGTTTTTCGTCGTTTTCTCAAAATCAATTAACTTATAGACTTAGCGCGTTTTGCAGATGAGCTCCTCATACCCAGCTAGCACACTTACATTGGGCCAATGTATGCAAAACCATCGCGAACGTCGGCTCTTTTTTCCAATGCAAAATCAACGTTGATCCAATGTCATTTGATTAATGACAAAATTATTACCGACGGAACTAAAAACATCTGGCAAATTTACATTGGTCCATTGTATGTAAAAACATCGTTAAAAGTTGATTGCTTTTACGATCTAAACCCAATGTTGATCCAATGTATATATTTCGACGTTGATTCAATGTATATAAATCAACATTTTTCCAATGAATGTAAAAACATCGCAAAAATTTGATTAAAATATCAAACCACAGTTAACACAAACATGATTTTTGTTTCAAAGATCAAGCGTCTACAACGTTACATATGTATATGTATACGTCGACTGGGCATATATAAACATACATACATATATATATATATATATATATATATATATATATATATATATATATATATATATATATATATATATATATATATATATATATATATATATATATATATATGTATATATATATATATATATATATATATATATATATATATATATATATATATATATATATATATATATATATATATATATATATATATATATATATATATATATATATATATATAGCAAGCAAATAAGATTTAATGAAAATTATATTTCGAAAAGTATTGAACACAACGTTTTGCCAACGTTGAATCAACATAAATACAACGTTGTGCTAACTTAAACGTAGAAAATATAACTATTTTCCGACTTTAAATAAACTTTTTATCAACATTGGTTTTTAGTTAATGATAATGATATAAAAACAACGTTGGCAGCCGATGTTGGGCCAACTAAACGCGCGACATTGTTCTAATGTTTTAACAACGTATGTGTGCTAGCTGGGTATGTTTGTATGTATGCATAATTATAATAGTATCTTATTTATAATTTTAGTTGTGGAAATGGTGGAAAATGGTGCTTCCTTATATGGTTTAACAACCCAGTCACATCCATTATGCTTTCTTGTCAAAAAATCTGTAAGCGTTTGTAAATTTATTATTTCAATTTTCGAAAAAGTCTTGCAAATTAACGACCCATTGAAAAGGGTTTAGGATATAGTCTTGTCTTCTAAATTTAAAGTTTATAAGACAGTTTTTTTATATTGATTTGAATTTAAATATAAAAGAAAAACAGCATAGGTAGGATTTTTATTTATTATAATATATTATTATTCATTGATGATAATGTTGATTAATTATTAATTTGTTTATTTTTATTAATATTTGTGTTTTTATATTTATGTTTTTCATATCTATTTATTTTAGTTTATATTCATGTATTATAGATTGTCATATTATGTCTATATAAATATATTATATAGACAATGCTTTCAAAATTTAATATAATTTTAGAACGAGACCATTTTAGTCGACGGCAAGAGCACGGATTCTCAACTGCTTGCTTCTGTTATAAAACAGCTCAAAGATGTCATCGAAAGACTTTAATTATTAAAATAATTTAATTTTTTATATACTAGTTGAAAAAAATTGTATCTTATCCGCCAATACTTTCAAGGCTATCGTTTTTTTTATGTTAATTTTGCTAATATTTGGAACATGTTTCTTGATTTCCTATTTTCATATAGTTTGTTTATCTTATTGATATAGGTTGTTTAACTAAACAATCTATGTTATTAAACTGAATAAAATTAAACTGATTCAAAAATAAGTGGTTCACTGTTATTACATTTGTTGCAAAATGTAATGCAATATTAGTCCGTAGTTAAATGAAATAGCAGTTTCTTTAAAGGAATTATTCGAATTAAATAATTTACAAAAATATTCAGGTATATTAATTAGCAAACATCAATTTACTTGTTAATTCGAAAACTTTTTAAAAATCTGTTTAATCATGTTATTCATTTGCGATAAAATACATCTGCTGTATTTTGCTATAATCGCTATATGTATCTGCTGTATAGATTGTTCACACAAAATCAGTTTTTAGTTAGAAAAAAAAATATAAGAATAAGATTATTGTGTTTGTCTAAAAAATTGAATAAGTTAGTAGCATTTAACTATTTTTTAAATAATTTTCGCTTATGGCTTGGGTTACTCATAGAAAAAAAAATACGGTATGGTTTTTTATACTTTGGTATTTATAATTTAAAAAACGCTTTTTTATAAATTATGTAAATTTAGTTTAGTAAAATTTGATAACAAATTATTATATATATTAAATAAAGTTTGGTTTTTCGATTGTTTTATGTTTGTTTTTTTTATTTATTATTAAATCTTTAAATTGCATCTTTTTTTCTTCGCATCAATGTTATTTTTATTTTCGTATCAATGTCATTTTTTAAATAGCTATAATTAACACTCATACGGTGGAACGGTAACGCTGAAAGAAACGCTATTAAGGTGGTCCTATATTAATAAAATCAAAATTTTAAAAATGATTTTCATATAAGAAATAGTATTTTATATTTAAAGCACGTTTAAAGTTCCATGGACCCTAAATATGGACTACGCGTTGTGATAAACAGCCTGTAAACTAATAATGATATGATCATAAAATTTTCACAGCTTTTTAATATCAGATGATTACATTCACCCTGCCAAAATCAAATAATTTAACAAACTATTGAAGCTTTTGTAAGAAAACCGGTTTAAGACCTAAAAAAAAGCCCCGAAAAGGCTTAGAACCTAGACCTTATTTTTAGAACCAGTTAACTAACATGAATTCATTTAGTAAGGTGAATGTGCATATATATAATAAACAACTCCTAAAAATTTCAACACAATCAGACAAACCAATCTCAAGATATTTATCGCAGCGTGCAAAAAACTCATATATTGAGAAAAACAATAATAAAGATTTTTAATGAAAAAAAAAATTAATTTATAAAAAGGTCAAAAAATTATTGAAAAACAAAACGACTTTCCACAAGACGAAAAATTCGCGCGAAGCGAATTTTTTCGTCGTTAAGGATGCGCAGATTAAACATTTTTGGCGATAATACTGATTTTTTTTTGCTACAGCGTTTCGCTGCAGCGAAAAAAAAAGTTGGATTCATTTCGACTTTTTGCGAATCGCCATAAGCGAAAACCAATGAAGTTTTGAATATTTATCACGTGATGTCAACATTGAAAACATGAAAAAAGCGAAAACAAAATTCTTAACCTGGCGTTCTTATTAATTTTATGTAAACTTACTCTGAAAATTGGTAAGCATGAGTAAATTTGTCAAAAAAGGGGCAAGACTTACATAAAAAAATGACCAGATTTATATATAAAACTAAATCGAGAATTTACTTATGTAAATTTTCACACTGTTAATTACGAAAGTTACACTTCATAAGAATGTTTATCTTTAGGTGGCCACACAAAGATAAACTTTTTTGTGAAAAATTCTACATAGAGTTAAACCTGTTGTTCGTTTTTGCAGTAACAGTTTTTAATAGAAATGTTCATATCAGAGTTTAGCATTTATTTTCTTATACTTTCTTGTAAAAAAAACCTTATATTAAATGATTATATTACAAAATAATATCACATCTTACATAAAAAGGCATAAATGTTAATATTAATGCACGGAAAGAAATTTTCACATGCTTCAAAATAGAAAGTATGCTAAAAAAGTAATAACTGCCTTTACTTAAATCTACAGCGTAAACTTATTGCTGCCATTTTTATTGTTGACAACGAAAAAAAAGTAGCGCGAAAGAAAGTAAGTGGAAATTAAAACAGCGTTTTCGTCATAGCGAAAAAATTCGCTTCGCGCGAATATTTCGTCTTGTGGAAAACGGCCTTTAAGCATTATTAAAAACACAGAAAAATGTGAAAACTCTAATATTTGAAAAATATTTAACCAAAATAGAGTTATTCAATCGAGGAAAAAAGCTTGAATATAAAAAAAATAATATACAATAACTACATTAAAAAATACAATAACTGGCTTAATATAAATTTAATTTAAAAAGTAACAAAAAACTAATATCTAAAAAACTCCTGCTTCATAAAATGTACCATTACTTTCATTTACTATATCTGTGAAACCTTTTTGTTCAGCGCAAAGCAGCTTTCTTCTTCTTTGTTTTATTGAGTCAAGCAATTTTTTTCCCATCGACTTTATTCTTTCTTGGTCTATTTTGGTACAGTACTAAATAGCAAATGTACTTGGTGTACCTCAGCATGTGTTTTGGAATCCCCATCTCCAATGTAATGAGTATATCGAAGTCCCCTTTTGTCTATAGATTTCATAAAACAATCTACAATTCTAGAAACTTCCATAGATCCAGCAGAACCTTCGTGATTATTTAAACAATCGCGGGTTTCCAAAAAAATTTCATAAAGTTCTGGATCGCTATCTTTTTTTGATTCCCATGATGTACAGGCATTGCATATTTTTGAAAGAACTCGATAGTCAACAATTTCCCTGAGTCACTTGCAATAACAGTAACAACACCATTAAGTGAGGAATGACCCCTTTTTTGTCAAGTTCCATCACAGAAAACAACAACAATAGCTATTACATTAATATCAAAATCATTTGGTTGGATATCGTTATTAAGATATTGAAATTCATTTGCTGCATTTTTCATTTTTACATCAGCTACACTTTGGTATATGATATGAATTTTATCTTGAATATCATTAAATGCTTTTATGTTCATTGGAAGAGGTAAGTTCATTCATCAACCGCAAAATTTCTCCGAACCAGAATGACCTTTTCTTATCTCTCTCATTGCAACAACAGATCTATAATTATTTCAAATGGTGACATTCCTGGACCTTGCTTTCTATCTCTTTGCTACAATAAAAAGACCGTTTCCAATCGCACGAAGATATTGCACAAGAAATGTTTAAAAACACTGCCAAGCCTTTCTTTTTTGATAAATCTTTTCTTTTTTCAATTTTTGTCAAGCAACTATTTACAATTAAAGATAATTTCGTAAAATATTTAGAAATATTAAATACAAGTGCATTTCATTATTTATAATAGTTACAAGACCGGAGAACCTGAAGAAGATAAAGTCTTTTCATCAGTAACCTTTGATAATAAAAATTGGAAATAATCGTGTATTGTTAGAAAAAATCATGTAAAGAATCGTGATTGGCAATAAGTTCGATTATGTTCTTTTTAAATTTTTGAGAGGTATTGGCTTCTTTAAGTTTACCACACAGACTTGTAAAATGGTTCCATAGCATTGGGCCACGATAGGAAATGGCAAAGCTCGTAAGTTTTGATGAACGGAAAGGTTTTTTAAATCTTCCGGTAGATCGCGTGTTGTATCGGTTTAATGTTTTATGGAAAATATTTTCGAAAACCTTCGGCGTTTTTTTTGACTGATGTTGAAACATAAATTGTGTAATTTTGAAAATATTTAACTCATAAATATCAAGTGCCCTCATGCTTTTTAAAAGAGGTTTAGCATTTGTGAAGCGATTTTGAAAATGAATAATGCGTGCTGCATGATTCTGTTGTTTAAGGAGACAGTCGAGTTTAGATTTATTTGTACTACCCCAAACAATATTGCCATAAGATAAATAACTATTTATGAATGCAAAATATAGTTGAGTTAGTGTAGATTTGTCTAAGATTCGTCTGGTTTTATATAAGATGCCAATACTTCTTGAGATTTTATTGCTAATATGATTTATATGAGCTCTCCAGGATAAGTTTTCGTCTATTAAAATACCAAGTAATTTATTTGTGAATGAGCGCTCAATATTGATGTTATTTATATATAGCATTGGTAAGGATTTTGGAATAGATTGAAACTTTCGTTTAGAATGGAATAAGGAAAACTTAGTTTTATCAGTGTTTAAAGATAAGCTGTTAGCGAAAAGCCAGTTTGATATTTGTTCTAGTTCATTATTTGCTACTTGATATAGAGAGATAATATTACTGTGAGAATAGAATAAAGTGGTGTCGTCTGCAAACATAATAGTAGACATAGTATTTGATGCTTTATATAGATCGTTGACATAGATTAAGAATAGCAACGGACCTAAGATGGAGCCTTGTGGAACCCCACATAATATTTTAAGTTTGTTTGTCTGAAAGCCATCATTAAGAGAAATAAACTGCTTTCGATCAGTTAAGTAACTGGTAAACCATTTATGGTATTCGTGGCTTATTCCATAATATTTTAGTTTTTCTAATAAAATCTGATGATTAACGGTGTCAAATGCTTTTGACAAGTCTAGGAATATACCTAAGGTGAACTTGTTATGAGAAGATGCTTCACTGATAACTTCAACAAGTTGCATAAGTGCATGTTCCGTTGAGTAATTTGATCGAAAACCATATTGGTTCCAATAAAGAAGATTGTTATCATACAAAAATGCAAATATCCTATTATACATGATACGTTCGAGGATTTTTGAAAATACAGGTAATACCGATATAGGTCGATAATTTGTAACCAGACTTTCATCTCCTGATTTAAAAATGGGTGTAATAATTGCAACTTTCATTTTATCTGGAAAAACACCTGTTTTAAGCGATTTGTTAAAGATATCTAATAAAACATCTTTAATAAGTTCATAGCAGTCTTTGATTATGCTTGCTGAAATAGCATCATAGCCTGTTGCTTTATTTTTATTTAAT